AAGCGAAAGGGTGGAACAAGATGTCGGAACTGGGCAGGACAAATGATCGGGGGACATGTGAAGTAAGAAAAAGGAGCTTTGAAGGTGAAACCAAATCTAATACATACGAGGAACCTTGGCGATATGACGGGAACGATTCTGGAAAGTATTCTTCCTCAGAATTCCGGCGGGATCCCAACATGGACTGCGGTGCGGACGCCTGGCCTAAAGTAGTAGCCAAAATTGACTTAGGCTGTGCTGCAGGAGACACAACCTGGGATGGGCTGAAGGGATTAAACACACCAGGTGCGGTGGCACTCGAGATCGAAAATCGAGTTGGACGAGAGAGGACAGACGGGAATCCGTTCTCTCGATACTCAGGGTGGGTTGTGGGTTCGCTAACGGGCCCACTCAAGCTTGCGTTAGCAAGATCTCGAGCCATCTGGTCGAGTTCCTGCCGTTCTTTCTCCTGTTGGAGATCTAAGAGCTTCATATCTGCTTCAAAACGCTTCCTCTGCTCCCTCATGTACTCGATGTGGGCTTTCTTCTTCTCGAACTGTAAGGATTGTTAGATAAGGGCCTTTAGATGGAATGGGCCAAGAAATCAAAAAGAACACCAAGGACACCAGGTCAAGCGCCCAAAGGATAAACGAGGGACACAAGGTAGGTAAAGTGTAAAGGGTTAGACAAAAAGAAGGAACAGGTTAAGTTGTAGAAGGTTGAAGTCGGAAGTGTTGTAGGAGGATGGAAGGTGTAGTAGGGTTGAAAAGTGCTCAGTGAAGATGCATATGAGAGAAGAGGGAGAGGCACTCACCAGTTGAGACTTATGAATTTGTGTAGCCTGTTGAAAAGAGCAAAAAATGATACAGTCAGCCAGTTGCAATAGTCCAATCAATGTCAAAAAAGAACTTCGTCAAAAGTTCTCGTCCATTGTTGCAAGCAATCATCTATATCAAATCAATGTTCAAGCTCTTATTTTCACTTGAAACCCTCACTTCTCTCCTGCAACACTAGGCAATCCCAGGTGAATAACACCCAGTTCTCCTGATCCCAGCCGACAGCAGTTGAACATCTCTTCATCCCGCCCACTCACTCTGCCTTCCCCCCCAATCAACAAACAAGGTATATATTAGACAATAGAACAGTAAAACTCACAGAAGAAAGCAGGTCGAAAGACTCCGGTGGGGGCAGGGGTTGGGAATTGCTAAATGCAGGCCATGACGAGAGCTTGCTGGCGTCAGTGGTGAATCGGCGTTGGAGATTTGCACGCACTTCGGAGGAAGGTGGTGGGAATGCGGATAAGTAGCTGGTTGTCGTCTGGCCTCTTGAGGGCGAGGGATAGCTAGCGAATGGGGAATCCGTGGCGGAAGGAGGAGAGCGGGGGGAGGAGAATCGGAGCTCTTCCAGGCGCTCATTTAGGCCGTTCTTGAAGGCCATGGTGTGTTATGGGTGTTTAATAATAACTGCCACCGTGTGTCAGAGAGTGCTGTATGTGCGGTGTAGAGCTGGGCAGGCTACAGAGACGGAGGGAGGGGGGTCATGATAAAATGAAGGCGGGGGGAAGAGAGAGAAAGGGAGACGTGACTCGACACGACTAGCAATGGAGAAACAACGCAGAACATGGAAAAGATGGAATTGGAGGTTGTCTGCAGGAGACAGGGGCCAGAATGGCTGGGAGAAAGGAGGGCAGAGAAAAGGGCCTCGAGGAATGAGGTTGAGATTAGTCTTGCCCCCGGGGCGATGAGGAGGAGGGTGGAGAGGGTGGAGAGGAGAGCGAGTCAGGGAGTATGACTAAGAGGGGGGGAAAGGGGGGGCGGGTTGGGTTGGGGTTTACCAAACCAAGGCTAGGAGCGTTGGCGGTGTGCTGCAGGCTATAATAAGTGGGCTGATATTATTAGAGCAAGCAACAACTTGCAACTCTCAGGCCCCAGCCACAAGACATCACACGTACAATTCAGAATTCAAAAATATATATTCGAGGGGAAGAGAAGAAGCCAACAGTATAGTGACAGTATAGTGACAGACATGCCAGAACGATACTCACAGGCTGCAGGCTGCGGTGGAGTTGCTTTAACTGCGGCAGCTATCAATTAGTTATCGTATCCGACTGCGTCGAGTCTCCAGCTATACAGGAAGCCCCTAGTTAAGCGTCACAGATCTAGATGCAGAGCATTCGAGTCAACTTCAACCATGGACGTATGAGATTATGGCATTATGGGACTTTTTGAAAAAAAAAAAAAAAAAAAAAAAAGGGATCTGTGAAGGGCGCTGCACACATACACAACTCTGTTATATTTTTCGTTTCGTGGAATGATATGATAATATCCTACATACGTTCGTCGCATTCCTAGCAAGGATAATCTTGTCCCTTTTCCCTTTTTCCCGTTTCCGTTTCCTTCTGCCTTTTGCTTCTGATCGCTGCTCTACTCGCACTATGGGGATTGTAATGTTGGATTTATTGGTACAGCGGGAGAAGTTAGGATTAAAATGGAAATGGATGATCCCAGTTCAACGAGTGTCGTTTTGCAATCGGATCGGTTTCAGATCGATCGTCAACAACTGCACCAATCCGGGAGTCTCAGACGTTGGTTTCCTCTGGTTTCTTCGCTTCTGGACAGCTGAACAGGCCGACGAGAAGGCAGAACTGACAAGGAGCTCTTTTTTTTTTTTTTTTTTTAATTTCTTTTCTTTTTTTCTTTCTTTTTAAATCACAACAAAATGTATAAAACGAAAGTACTGGGGGTGAATGAAGGGAACTGGGCTCTGAGATATGGGAAGAGAAAATAAGAGCGGACGGAATAAAAGAATGCAAAGGGAAATAAATGAGAAATGAGGGAATGGTTGCACAGAAAGTGGAGGAATTAATAAGTGATTTTCCAATTTTTATTTTTATTTTATTTATTTATTTTATTTTTATTTTTATTTTTATTTTTTTTTTTTTTACCGCTTCAAAGCTACTCACTCGAGGGGAGAAACCTCCTTTCGACAGTTTATCTAATAACTGGCCAGGAGCAAGAAAATGGAGAGAAGAGGCAGATGAAAAAGAGAAATCAGCCTGGAACGGGGAATAACAGAAACAAAGAAAATGGAAAATACACTGATGACAGCAGCGTATGGATCGTTCACGCCCATCTACTGGAGGAATTGGCCAGGGTTAGTTGGTACAGTACCGCATTAACTGATCATGAAGATTTAACAAGGGGCCTGTTTTGACCGTTGCAGGGGAGGCAAATGGGGGGATGGGAATTGCAACTTTGCAAGGCGGGGGGGGAGTCAACTGCTGCTGCTGCTGCTGCTGCTGCTGTGGGCAAATAACCCCAGGAACCTCACCAACTGACAACCTCTATTTTAACCCTGCACTGCAAGGGAAGAAGGCCGACGAATCAGCAAATGCGAATTGGTTTATTGAAAAGCTACGGAATGTTTCTGTTTTTCTTTTGGGTCGTTCTGGGGCCTGATGTGTGAGTGTTCGATGTTGGGCAGCAAAAAGTACCCGATACCTGATTCCACCGAGCACCCATGAGTAATTAGTGAGGGGGGTCAGTCACCGCTTGTTTCGGGATTCCCCTCCGCTTTTCAAGCTTGTCTTTGCCGCTGGAGATCGCGGACTTCTCATTGCCCATGCCCCATTTATTTTCCCTTCTTATTCCGTTTCTCGTTATTTCTAACCCGGCATATCCAACCCAAATAAATCTTCTTCTCTATTATCTCTCTCGCTAACTACGTCTCCCGCTTGTATCTGCGACTTTTCCATCCCTGAACTCTCCATCAGCGGCTCCTAATCAAACACCCCTGCCCCCCCTCTTCCTCTTAACTTACACATATCAACCTAGGTACAGGACACAGGTGCATACATATATGACAATGGCCGCCCCGCCCAACGTGTAAGCTGCTGAGTAGTTAGCTCCCATGATCCTTATGATTCTATTCCCCCCATCCCGCATCCCAACGCATGCATCCTGCACCCTGCACAGTACAGTTCCTGGCCCTGCTTCCCCACACTAGCCAATGACCCACCCCGTCGACTAAACTTAGCTTAGCTCTGATTGGGTCCCTTTTCAACGCCGCAAAAGCCCCCCCGGGGGTGAAGAGCCTGAGAGGCCCAGGGTTTCTGATTTTGAACGTTTGTCTTCCTTTTATTTATTTATTTATTTATTTATTCATTTATTTTATTTATTCGTGTTCCAGCGGCAGACTGGACTGTTTCTCCTATTTTTGCATGCTGACTCTAGATGCACCCCGGTGGTTCGAGTAACTCCTTGATGGGTTTGAGCATTGGCGTAACATTGGGATTGGAAGTTTGGGTCTGACCGGCAAGCGACTGGTGCATGGGACGTGTTGGCAGTGCCGCGGTCGGCGCCTGGGACTTGGGGAATGGGCAGGCTGGTTGGTGGCCTTCGAGGAGCCCGGGAGGAGACACTGGCTAGCTGACAGCCTGAGCTTGGCTACGTTAAAGCTTCGGAGGTGGATGGAGATCGGAGTTAAAAACGCTTGATTTTGTGGTCTTTGAGCCGAGTAACGTGTTAATTTACCAGCAGTTCGACAGGATAAATTAAATTTCCATACCTAGGTATTGTCCTTCAGTTGCCCTTCACTCACTCCCCGTCTTCGTTTCCATCCAAGGACAACCCTAAATAAACCCAAGCCATTGGCCTTTTCCCACACTTCATTTCATCTGGCCTTTTTCTGCATGGCCTCAAAGTGCACCCCCTTTTTTGTAATTCAAAATGGTATCAAAACGATCAAGCT